TGTCATGTTAGCTGTTTTTTTGAAACTTTTTTTTACCTTCCATCCTTAAAGGATGCTTTTACTGTCTTGGATTGAGAAGTCTTCTTTTCCAGCACATTAAGGATACTATTGCATTCTCTTCTGACTCTTGTATTCTCTGCTGAGAAATCATAGACCTTCAGCTTAATATCCCTTATTTGTAATATGTCAGTTTTCTCTGACTGGCTGCTTTCAAGGTTTCTTCTTCATCTTTGATTTCTAGGAGCTTGATTGCGATTTATGTGGATGAGCTCATCCTCAGTTTCTTAGATGTGTGCTTCATAAATTGGTGAAGTTTTTAGTGGTTTTCCTCACCAGCCTCTTCCATTCCTCCTTTAGCTACTCCAGTAGTACCAAAGCTAGGCCACTTGGTGCATGGTCTGGGGAAGTCATTCCACTCATTCCTGGGAAGAGGGGTGGAAAAAAAGGAGGTAACACCTTTCTTGTTATTCAACCACTGATGGACTCTTACTGTCCTTCCTTCTGGTGCCAATCAGAATGCTGATTACAAATGTTCAAAATGGGTGTATTGTGTCAGGTTTGTTCACAATTCACTGTTCTGTCTCCCTACTTGATACTTTTATTCCATTTCTTATTTCAGTCAGTATTTGAATGACTTTTTTTTATAATTTCTCTGAGACATCGAGTTCTAGGATTATCATTTATATTTGTTATCTTGTTTTTTAATGTTTTGTTGTAGAGGGTCTGGGCTGCTGAAAACTTTGGGATTATTATTTTGCTTCTAATACCATTGATAAACTGTTATCTCTACACTTTTGTCTTGATGCCTTTGAATTATGGTGTTGGAGAAGAGTGCGGAATATCCTGTAGACTGTCAAAATAATAAGAAAGTCTGTCTTGGAGGAAGTGCCTTAGGCGCAAAGATGGTGAAATTTTGTTTCACTTATTTTGGCCATGTTGTCAGGAGAGACTAATCCTTGGCCATGCTGGTTAAAATTGAGAGTCAGAAAAAGAGAAGACAACTCTCAAAAGATAGATTGACACAATGATTATAACAAGGACTAGAGCATATCAGAGATTGTGAGGTGCAGTACAGAATAAGGTTCAGATCTGTTATTCATAGAGCTGCTGTGAGTCATAGTGAACTTGATAATACCTGACACCTAACAACAATATGCATTGCTATCAGGACTGAGTGAATGAGAGTTCCAGTTTCTGTACATTCTTATCAACACTTCTTACTTCTTCTTTTTCTCGCAATGGCCATTTAAGTGGGGTTAAGTGGTATCTCTTTGAGGATTTGATTTGCAATTTCATACTCTTGGCACCAGCAGTCAGGAAATAAAAAGACAAATTACATTGGAAAATCTGCTGTCAGGGATTTCTCCAGAGTGGTGAAGAGCAATGATATCAGTCTAGAGACTAAGATGTGCCTGATGTAGGATGTGGTCTTTGCAATTACGTTCTGTGCATCAAAAAGCTGGACAGTGGCTAAGGATGATGGAAGAATTGATGCTTTTCAGTTGTGGTGCTGGGGAAGAGTATTGAAAATATCATGGATTGCCAAGAGAACAAACAGGTTTGCCCTAGAGAGAGTGAAATCAAGTTGCTCTTTGGAGGCAAAGATTTGGAAGCTCCATCTGATGTACTTTGGGCATGTTGCCAGGAGGGGCCATTTCTTAAGAGAGAGACATCATGCTTGGGAGGGTAGAGGAATAAGAGAGAAAGACCCTGGTAAGATGGATTGACTCAGTAACTGGGGTATTGGGAGTAGATGTGTTTGAGACAGTGAGATTGGCTGAGGATATAGGTCGAGTTCAAAGCTATTTTGCATCTGGTTGCTAGTCACCTTGACAGCCCATAACATTAATAAGGACAGTAACACTGCTTTTCATGCTAACTTGGTGTGTCTCAAGACATTATTACTTCTCTGTTATGTTTATTTTCTTTAGTGAAATATCTCTTCAAGTCCTTTGCCATTTGCTTTGTCTTTGTATTGTTGAATTATAGGAGTTCTTTATATATTCTGGATATTAAACCTGTTCTGGTTTTCTGGTGCTGCTGTAGCAGAAATACTGTAAGTGTTTACTTGAAAATGAAGCTTATTTTCTCCTAGTTCTAGAGATTAAAAGTCCAGATCAGAGTCTAGGCCCATCCCTTTCTTGTCCATGTTGTTGTTGTAGATTGCTGTTTAGTTGAGCACGACTCATAGCGACCCTATGAACAAATGACTTGAAGCCTTTCCATAACCCCAGCTATTCTTTGATTCCTTAATGCTCCATACATGGTATCTGTCTTCCTCCATGCATGCATTTCTATGTCTACTCTGCTCTTTGTAATGGCTCTGAAAAGATTAACTTTAGAATTCGTGCAATATGGGTATGATTAAATATTACTTCCAAACCCCTCCAGTTTTCAAACAGCTTTACATACATAGGTTAATACTGTAATATGTGTTTTTGAGACATACAGTTATAGCCATTTAAAAACTCTTTACCAGAGATAGGATTCTCAAGAGTTTATGCTGTCTCTCCACTTTGCAGATAAAGTCCTTTGATGTGTGAAAGTTTTATATTTTGATTAAGTCCTGTTTGTTTATTTTGGTTTTTGTTGCTTGAGAGTCAGATATCATATCCATGAACCCACTGTTGAAAACTGTATCTCAAAACATGACTCCTCTGTTTTAAGAATTTTATGTTTTTAGTCCTTACATTCAGGCCTTTGATGAAATTGAGTTAATTTTTGTATGTGGTATGAGGTGTAGGGCAAACTTCATTCTTTTGCATTTAGAAATCCAATTGTCCCTGAGTCATTTATTGAAGACATTATTCTTTGTTCATTGGGTAAATTTCACCCTTTATTGAAAATCAGTTTCCTGTAAATAATTTGTTTCTCTCTTTGATGTTAGGTTAATTTTTCAAAAGACATATGCTTTGCTTATATATAAATCTACATTCTTCTTAGAATAATTGAGGGTTGCATCAGAATTTTTGGGAATTTTTTTTACAGCACATTCTTTCCATTAAAATTTTCCCCTTCATTCATTGTTGCACATTTTCCTCCTTGCCCACCCTCCCCCAGTTCATTTTTCTCTTTGAAAGGAATAAAAAAATTCTTTCATTGTTATAATCCCCTCCCCCCAAGTCCACAGTCCACTTTACTATGCATTTCTTTTCCTGGAATCTTATCATGAAAATAATATCTAATCCTATATTCCTTTTAAACAGTTCTCTCCCTCATCTGTTTCAGTGCAGTATACATTATTTATCCCCTCTTTTCTTAGGCTCCCCCAACCCTGATGTCAGTCCCATTTTAGAATGCAGTATTTGTCCTTCTGTGACTGAAATATTTCACTTAGCATAATGTCCTCCACGCATTTTGTATAATATTTCATGAGTTCTTTGTTTTTCACTGCAGTGTAGTGTATTATATTGTGTGACTATACCACAGTTTTTCTATCCATTTGTTTGTTGATGAGCACTTGAATTGTTTCCAACTCTTTGCTGCTGTGAACAAAGCAGAAATAAACATGGTTCTCCATATATTTGCTCTGCTTGGGTGGCTGTTATGATTTCTTTAGGGTGTATTCTCAGTAGTGGAATTGCTGGGTCAAATGGTATTTCTGTTTCCAACTTTTTGAGAAAATGCCATACTGATTGCCTTAGTGGTTGCACCATTTTACACTCCCACCAACAGTGAATAAGGGTTCTAGTTTCTCCACAACCTTTCCAGCATTTTCTCTTTGCTGCTCTCTTAAATTTTGCTGTTCTTACTGGGGTAAATTGATATCTCATAGTTGTTTTGGAGGTTGATTTCGTTTTGAGAGGTCACTTTTATATAAAAGTTGTAGAAAACACTGAAACATCAACATTTAGAACCTGTTTTAAATTGCTAGCATGCAATTTACAGATGGTTCCTTTTGTCCCCCATTACGCTGGTCACAGAATCAATCCATCTCATCGAGGGGCAGCTTCTCCTGTTCTGTCCTTCCACCCTCCCAAGCATTATGTCCCTCTCCAAGGACTGGTCCCTCCTTGCAACATGTCCTGATTACCCCAGTCACTGAATCAGTCTACCTCATAGAGGGTCTTCCCCTCCTGCGCTGTCCCTCTACTCTACCCAGCATGATGTCCCTCTCTAAAGACCTGTCTCTCCTTACAGTATGTCCAAAGTATGTCAGGCGAAGCCCCAGAATCCTTGCCTCCAAGGAACAGCCTGGTTTAACCCTCTCTAGGATGAATCTGTTTGTTTTCTTGGCAGTCCATGGTACATTCAATACTCTTCTCCAGCACCACAGTTCAAAGGCGTCAATTCTCCTTCTGTCCTCCCTAGTCATTGTCCAACTCTCTGATGCATAACAAGTGATTGCAAAAACCATGGCCTGTATCAGGCGCACCTTAGTCTCCAGAGAGACACCGTTGCTCTTGAGTACGTTGGAGAGGTCCCTAACCGCAGACTTTCTCATTGCAATACGTTTTTTGATTTCCTGGCTACTGGTGCCAAGAGTGTTGACCATGGAGCCAAGCAAACTGAAGCTGTGAACTCTCTCAATCTCTTCGCCATCCATCCTGATGCTACCGATTGGTCCGGTGGTGAGAATTTTTGTCTTCTTGACATTGAGCCTCAGTCCATACTGAAGGCTGCAGTCCTTGACCCTCTGTAGTAAGTGCATGAGGTCCTCCTCAGTTTCAGCGAGCAAAGTTGTGTCATCTGCATAATTTAGGATACTTAATATTTTAGTCTTGCTTCTTTTGTTATTTTTTAAGTGCTAACATTGTTGATGCCATGCTACCTATATAGATTTGTGTTTTGTTTTGTTCTTTATTATAACGTTAAGTTGTCAAGGAAAAGACTGATCTTCTTTGACATTCATTCATTAGCATAAGTCGCTCAATCTTAGCTATTAACACACCCATATATGCATTCACAAGCAAATATTTCATGTACTATGTTTGCTACTTTAGGGAACGCTTATTGTATTTTACGTAGACATACAAATGAACTATAATGTAAAACAGACCATGATGAATGTCCAAGTTCTCTTGACGTTTAGTGGAAGGATCCCTCAGGATTATCTGAAGTTGGTTAATGTTTCTTTTTAAAAAAATTTATTTTAGTTTTTTTTTAAATTGGTAGATCCCTTTCTTTGGTGCTAAGAATATTGGCCGAAGAAGTCCTGATGAACCAGTGCTGAGCAAAGCTGAGTTTGTTGAGAAAGTTCGCCAGAGTAACCAGGCTTGTCATGATGGAGATTTCCACACAGCAATTGTTCTGTATAACGAAGCCCTGACTGTCGATCCTCAGAACTGTATCTTGTACAGCAATAGGTCTGCGGCATATTTGAAAATCCAGCAGTACGACAAGGCACTGGATGATGCCATCAAAGCCCGGCTTCTCAACCCTAAATGGCCAAAGGTAAAAATTTTACTTATTTTAACAGAACCTTCTGTGTTGATTTCTTACTTTAATGTAACATTTCCTTGACTCCATATAGTGATTAAGATCTTAATAATAGTATTCCAGCAGAATGTGGATTGGCTTTGCTGAACTATAGCGCTAGTGCATGACTTTGCTTCTTGCCTGTGGAAGTGTACTTGTCATGCCCCATGTTCAGTTGGGTCTTTGGTATGTTTCAGTTTTCTTTTCTTTTCCCCTTGACTTCTTAAAGAAATCATTCTAGTTTCTTCTATACGTTTGGACCTTATTTTTCTTTTTTAACAGGTGTTTAAATAGTATATGATGATCATGTTTTTTTGCCTCTAGATTAAGATAATCAATATTGTTCCTTGTCAGGGACTGCTTATTTTCAGATTGGTATTTTAGCAGGGAAAAGTTTATTTTTCTAGTAAATTACTGTCATCGTATTTCCTTAAAGAGTGCAAGCCTTGTATTAATTATCTTTGTTTGTATTTTCAGTGAGCCTACCTGAACTTTAGTTTCTAGTTCATTTTAGAAGAACATGCTATTAGGCTAGTTAACTCAGATGTTCCATAAAACCATGATGCTAAGCTTCTAAACCAGGAACACAAATTTTGATTGTTCATAGGTGGTCTTATTAGCTACCTGTTTGTCTTTTCCGTTATAAATATATCTCATCACACAGCTTTTACTAGTTCAACTTTATACAGGTGTATGTCTTAGTGACAGTGGTTTTGTTCATCATCTGTACAAACCTATTTTTACTAAGTGTGATTTTCTTACTTAGCCCTTTTTCATTCCTTCCTCTCCCTGTCAACCACCAATGAACTTTGTGTCTATACATTTGCCTGGTTTTGCCTTTTTGTATAATGAGATAATACATATTTGTCATTTTTTACTAATTTCAACAAGTGCAATCAATGCCTTCAAGCTCCATTTATACAGTAGCATGTACCAGGAGAATCTATTTCTCTTATTGGCTTAAGCAGTATTTTGTTCTATGCATGTGTTAAATTTTATTTGTTGGTTTATCTGTAAATGGCCATGTGGGTTGTTTTTTACCTTTTGACTATTTTGAATAGTGCTGCAGGGAACACTGGTGTACGAGTGTCTGTCTGAGCCTTCTATTTTCAAGCTTATGGGGTGGGTACCTGGGAGTAGAGTTGCCGGGTTATATGGAGGTTCTGCTTTCTGTCTTTAGAGGACTCAGCACACTGTTTTCCACAGTGGTGGCACCATTTTGAATTCCTGCCAGCAATAGATAGTGGTTTCAGTTTTTCCAAATCTTCACCAACGTTTGTTACTTATTTTTAAACGTTTTGTCTTCAGCATCCTAGGGGGAGTGGAATGGTTTGCCAAAAAGCTCTTAGCTCTCTTGCTCTGTTGGTTGATGCTGTCTTGTACCAGTTTCCAGTTCAGCATCAGTTTCTGCTGCTGCTGCTCCTACTTACCATGTGTGCTACCTCTGGTGTTAAAATTCTCTGTTTGTTTTGTCTCCTCACTAGCATTGCCTGTGACGTCTGTAGTCCACCACAGTCACTTTTACTACTAAGGACCACCTTGAAACCCCTTCAGCCTCTTCTCATTATTCATTTCAAAAACTACTGGGCAAAGTTCAGATCCATTGTTCATAGAGGTGCTATGAGTGATAGTTGATTTGATGGTGCCTAACAACAATAACAACATGAGAGCAGCAAGGAGTCCTGGTTGCTTAATGCATTAGCTGTTAACCAAAACATCAGAAGGTTGAACTCAGAAGCTGCTCCACAAGAGAAAGATGGACAGTCTTCTCCCATTATGATTTGCACCTGATGGAGGGTTGCGATGAGTTGGAACTTGATGGCAGTAAAATTTGAACAACACTCTCTATATAAAAATAATGTCTTAGTTACCTAGTGCTGCTTTGACAGTGATACCAATTGTGAATGACTTTAACAAACAAATTTATTCTCTCGTAATTTAGGAGACTAGAAGTTCAAATTCAGGGTTCTAGCCCCCGGAGAAGACATTCCCTCTGTGTGTCTCTGGTTCTAGGGGTTTCCTACTAAAGAAACCTTGGTTCAAAGATCCCTCCACTCCTGGCTCCTCTCTGGATGATACAAATTCCTCTTCTTTTATTTGCTTTTCCCTCCTTTTCTCCCTTATTATTATTATTTTTATTAGTGTGTGTGTGTGTGTGTGTGTGTGTGTGTGTGTGTGTGTGTACCATCAAATAGAACCTGGTACAGGGGGAGATTTGCCCCTCCTTCCCCAGCAGAGCACCTGGTGGATTTGAACCATGTACCTCTGGGATTGCAGTGTAGATTCTTGCCACTAGGCCACCAGAGCTCCCTCCCTTTTCTCCCTTCTAAGGCAGAAAGTGATGCTGACTACAGCTCAAGGGAACTATGTTCCATGTGATCAGGGCTGTGACCTGATTATAAAGGTGTCACTTCTCATCCTAATCATATTACAATTGACTGGCTAGTCACATCAAATCACATTATGGGGGATGATTAGCTCATTATGTACCTACTTCTAATCCCATCTAACTAGCCTCATAGAGGTCAGGATTTCTAACACAAAATAGGTATATAATAATGACAATCCTCATCTAGCTAAGTGGACATATATTTTGGAGGAACACCATTCTGTTACAGAAATCAAGGCTTTGGCTTTATTGAAGCTTGTGTCATTGCTCTCTGTATGCTTTGTTTTGGTAATCTACTTTGAGTGCTTTAAAGGATGTGACTTCTCTACTTCCTCTTCTCTGCCTAATGTTGAGTGTAGCTGTCTTCCTTCTTTGTTATGCCTTCTCGTATGTCTTTCAGGAACAGGAGATTTCTGTGCAAGAAACAAAAGCAGAATCATCTCAGTCTGTAATGAAAGAAAATGAAAACTCATAATAAAATTAGGTCCAAATGAAAGAAAAGACATTGGAAAATAACCAAGATGGCCGTATAAGGAGTCACACATGTGATTAACATAGCTTCCTAGTATCACATTCTCTTCCTATATTCACATTCTCTTGTATCAGGTTCACTAGTATTCTCTTGTATCAAGTACCATATCAAGGTTAAAATTTCACCAGGATCTGATCAACTGGGAAATCACTTGTGGCTTTTTTTTTCTTTGTGTTTATGTTCCCACTTTAAGAAATTAACTAATAAATATAAGTATGTGAGACCTTTGGTATAGAAAAAAGAATTCTGTATTAGAAGTTGTGAGGTATAGTTTATAGATGTCCATCATATTAGTTAATGGTTTTGTTAATATTCTTTTGTCTTTGCTATTTTTCGAGTGTCATTAGTTTATAAATTGCTTCAGTAGAGATGTTTCAATCTCACATGAAGATTTGGTATTGGTGTTTATTCATTTAATATTATAAAATATTACTTCATGTGTTTTGTAGCGCTGTTATTAAAGTTGTTGTTGTGTACTGGAGAGTCAGAACCAACCCACAGCTGACCCTCCAGCAGGTTTTCGGAGACAGTTAATCACATGGGAGGAGATTGCCCATCCTTTTCTCACAGAGCAGCTGGTGACTCGAACTGCATGCCTTCAGGATTGCAGTGCAGCTTCTTACCACTAGGCCACCAGAGCTCATTATTAATGTATACATCTTTATTATTTTTGTGTATATATGAATGGACACATTTATTATAATGGAGTGTCTCTCTCTGCTAGTGAATTTATTTTGTTTGAGATTAACATAGCCATTCTAGTCTTCTTATACTTACTTTTCGCAGCCCATACATTTCTGTCAGTGTATTTTCCACTACTCTGTGCCTTTCCATATTAAACTCATCTCTTTAATATCTTATAGTTGTGTCTTTTAAAATGAATTTTGTCAATCTTTGCCTTTTCGTTGGTATTTTAAGCCATTAACATTTAATGCAAATCTTGATAGCTTTGATTTTGAGCCTACTATTTTATTAATTTACTGTTTTAATCCTTTCTTCTGGGTTTTTTTTAATTCCCTTTTGCTGATTAAATTTGAATATTTTAAAATTTAATTTTAAATATTCAATTGCATTTCTTACTCTACTTCCTTTGTATTCTTTTTCACTTGCAGCTCTGGTGGCCTAGTGGTGGCCTAGCTGCACTGCCAACTTAAATTTAGGTGGTTCGAGTCCACCAGCGGCTATATCGGAGAAAGATGAGCATTCTCCTCCTGTGTGATTTACAGCCTTTAAAAACCCACTGGAGTTTCAACTATGAGTCATTTCCCATTGTATACAATGTGTGCGTGTGAGTGTGTGTGTGTGAGAGAGAGAGACAGACAAAGACACACACACACACACAAACACACACACAAAGACACAGACAAACACCGACACAGACACACACAGACACAGTCACACACAGACACAGACAGACACAGACACACAGACAGAGAGACAGACAAAGACACACACACACGCAGATACTTAAGGAGTCCTGGTGGTCTAGTGTGTTACATGTTTGGCTACTAACAGGTGTTTAGTGATTCTAACCCATCAGCCATTCCTCTTCCTTAAATATTTACTAGTTTGGAAACCATATGAACAATTCTACTCTGCCCTACAGGATCATTGTAAGTTGGAATCAACTAGATGACTAGATGGTTTTGTTCTTTTTTTCTCCAAAACATACTTAACTTTTCATATTTTCCTTTCAGGTAATATGAATTAATTTTCTTAAATCATAGAAAACTTGTACAGGTTTATATTTCTCCAAAGTTATTCTAGAAATGCTACATGTATTCTATTTACATGCTTTATAAGGCCCTAAAACCGTGATACGAGTTTTGCTTTAAGCAGTTAAATGAGTTACTCATATATTTGCCTAGATATTGACCATTTCCGATGCTGTACTTCTTTCTGATATTTTGAATTTTCATCTTGTGTCTCCCTGTTAGCCTGAAGAACTTACTTCAGTATTTCTTGAAATGAAGTTCTGATGACAGTATCTTTGGCTTTCTAAAGAAACAGGACCAGTGAAGCCTCTCTCACTCACTCACACTCTTTCTCTCTCCC